AACAAACTAGCAGTACTCCATCCTCCCCCTTTTCCTTGTCCTACCATCTTAATGCACACTGTCCTTATTTTCCCACAAATAAGGGTGGTAGACGTTCTATCACAGGGTGTTAATTTCCCAGCATTCTGGCCTGTATAAGGATAGAGAAAATTCTAGCTGTCAAAGTCCTCAAAAAAAGATGCAGTGAAGGCAGTAGGTAGAGTGGCTGAAAGGCACTGAATTAATGTCGTTAGAAATATTTGCGGGCTTGAGGAAAATCACAGGAAGTGTGTATTATCAAAAAAAAAAGTATAGATTTCAAAACTTTTTGCACCATGTAATGTGATTTCATCTTTCCATGAACTTTTTGAAGTCCTTTGTTGGTGAATATATACCTCAACTTTCTCATACTTCCAAGTGGGTAGTTCCGAGGCTGGTGGTTCCAACTGGTTTTGAGAAAATTCCAGGGAGACAAACTGTTCACTCACAGTAATAACTTGCTTGGAAATCTACCCTTTATTGCCCTTTCTTCCGTGTCTCACTTTCCCATGGCCCTATCCTGTTTCCTGAGATCACTTCCAACATAGATGACTTGTGCTTGAATTGTTAGATCAGGGTCTGCTTCTGGTAGTATACATTCAGGAAATATTTTTCCAAAGCATCTGCTGAAGAGATCGTCCATTATTTATGTTCTTTAGTCATAGGATTGATTGTAAGAAAGGCAGGAACACTGCAACAAATACATGGGTTTAGGATCTGTGGATGTCAACTATCTAGGTCTTCTTTTGAAACCCAATTACTTTTACTGAAAAAAGAAAAAAGGAGTGATCATGTTCTGTCTGTGTTACTCAGACTAAAACAGAAAAGAAACGAGCCCTCAAATAAAGCCAGTAAAGACTGGGATTTTGTTCTTTTTTTTTTTTTTTTTTTTTTTCTTTTTTTTTTTTTTTTTTTTTTTTTTTTTTTTTTTTTTTTTTTTTTTTTTTTTGAGAGGTTTTCGCTACAGGACGCGTGCACTTGCCAGACAGAGAGAGACACAGAGACAGAAAGCGAGAAATTACCCCCCAGGGGGGATGGTCACGCTGCAATCCTTTCTCCTCCATTCTCCTCTCAGGATCTTGGGCACGCACGCACACGCGCCTGGCGTGTTTTAAGCCATCAGGTCCGGGACGTGAACCGCAGTGGACTACATGGGAGTCCAGCGACATAGCCATTACGCTAACTGCTGGTTCCCGGATTTTGTTCTTTATATTAATATTTTCCATCATGCGTGCTTATGTTCATAACTTATTACTTATCAATGAAAGTATACAAGTTCTATAGTGTCTTAAAGTGTTAGAAATTATTAAATGATCAGGTTTAATTACAAATAAAATTTTATTCTCTTTAGAGAATTAAAATACAAATGCTTCTATTTTCTATGTTTTTGAATAGCTTTCCAAAACAGTTTATTTGTAGGAAAAAAGATACATTGATTATTACTAAGCTAAACGTTGCTACACTTTTGAGCTAGTGCAAACTGCAGAAAACGAGGTTTGGTGTTTATTGTGTGTCTAGTTAATCAGAATGGTAGCGATAATATAAAAATAACATAGAAATACAATTAAAACAAAACCAAGTGTACTGAGAAATGGAGCTTAATTAAAAAGAAGTCTCTGATAACCCTCAGTGACCAAGTAAGTTTGTAGCTGATTCTCAGATGTCCGATGGAGTTTTGGGATAGCCTCTGTAATTCCTGGTGTATTATAGCTGGGTTACTAAAAAACATTCCATTCATATTAAAAATAATATCTTCTGCATCTGGGTGCCAGAGAGTGGTAGGTTAATATTTCAATATTAAGCCTGAAGAAAGAAATAAGAGAAGGGTCAAATAAATAACTTACACATGACAATAACAAATATTTCTAAACTATTTGGAAATATTTTTTAAAAATTGTCAGACGCAGGTTTTTCAATTCTAAACTCAGCCTTTTTCCTAAATCAAAACTACATTCTACTGAATACTTTGTCCAAGCCTTAATGTATCTCTGAATTATCTTCGTCTTTCCATAATCTTTGTCTCCAGTCTTTTACTGTTTCAAAACAATCTAGTGCCAAATACTAGCCCTTTTCTAATTTCTCATTTAAAAGTATCTTTCCATATCGTGTGTACTACACAGAACACTTTGATTGCATAATGTCTGACATCAGCCTTTTACGATCTTGACTTCCCCATACTCATTCCAAACCATTTCTTCCCTCGTCATGCTCCATCTTTTTACTCGGTTCTGTATAAAAATCCTCTTTATTTGGGCTATGAGATTTCCTACTATACCTCAGATCAAAATTCTAGACTTTGATTCAGAGACCCTTACTATTGTGCACTAACTTACCTGCTTTCTCTTTCTTCGTCTCTCAGTGTATCTTCTCCGATTGAGGCAAAAATGGTTTTTCATACTTCAGGTGACCTTCTAAGTCCCAAACTAAGCACTGTTCTCTTCCTCAGTCAGTAGATGGTCATTTCTCTTTCTTTCTCTCCATTTTAAAAACAGACTAAATTCCAATGTCTCCTAGATGGTTCTTCCAATAAAGAATGCTATGAGTAGTGTTAGAATTTGTTACCATTCTCTTTTCCACCTATTGGGAATTAAATTTTACTCCATTCTTCATCACCTTAGATATGGGTGTATTCTTTGTTAGAATTCCATATAATTACAGTAAAATTCTTTCTTATGCTAACTCAATATGAAAGTCATCTTTTAGGTTGAAGTGCTGTAGTGGAAAATACAGGAAAGGAGTATCTCCATTCTAGAAATCTAGTAAATGTATTTGTACGTTTTTACAGCTAAGGATATATTGCCATGTATGTGATCTCATCTGACTCCTACAAATTGTGATGGTTTGGAAGTGCGATCTCTGTTTTAAGTGAGAGGAAACCTGAAGTTCTAGGGTATTGAAATATTCAGGAAGATAACTTTGGAGTAAGGAAAACCCAAGTTTGAATTATTACTACAATGTTTCTAACAGTTGGACTTTGGGTAAATTACTAAAACCGTTACAAGTAAACTGTTTCATAAAATGGGTTAGAAATTACTACACATCTACTACAAGGAATCCATATAGCATGTAAAATGGATTGCTCGCTACATGGAAAGCCTTAATAAATGGCAACACGTTAAGGGATTTGCTCAAACACACCGTTAAAACACCCTGCGGAGACCTAAAACCAAGATTTCGGATTCCGAAGTCCGTGTTCTTCCATTACCCCCGCTTCTCAGCACACTGAGTTAATTATGCTACTAACTTGATGGACGACCTTGAGCAAAATACTACAGAGTCAGTTTACTCATCTGTAAAATGAGGGACTTGATTTAAATAATCTCCAAAATTCTTTCAGAGTCCATTCCAGCTACATTGGATTTTTTTCCCCTTTCCTGTTGTAGCGTTGAGGTTCAGGTTCGTGTGATTCGCAAGCGCTGTGTAATCATAAAGTGTGCACATTGCACAACTCTCATCCCTACTTTCATATTTCGTCCAGTATTTAGTTTTCTGTACACACGCAGCTGTTGCTAGTCTTTAGTTTTAAATCTGCCTACCAGCAGCGCCTCGCGAAGCGGAGACTCACACAGTTATAAACATTGTAGCGTTACTTATTTATATCCTGGCTGGTTTCCGAAAGGATTTAAGGCGGCGAGTAACACTTAAGTCCCTTAACCGTGTCACACTGTGCGATTAAGAAATTCTCTAGATGAAATCACCCTGAAGAAAATCGCCGATGAGGGATGAGGGAGATGCTAACTAGTTAATGTCTTCTACCTAACTCTTAACATTAAAAACTAATACACCTAGCGAGAAATCCCGGAAGCGTACAGTCCTGGTTCTTCCCCCAGTCCTGACGCTGTCCCACCCGTTGTCAACGGTCACTCCAATGCCCTTCTCAGACTAGCCAAAATTGTCGTCGCTCCAGTCCCAGCTGGACCAACATCCCACCCCGCCCCTTCGCTCCTCGCATCGCCCAAGTTCCCCGATTGGGAAGGGGCCTGGAGAACCTCTCTCACATTTCCAGGTTATTGGCTGGCACGGCTGTCAGTAATCTCTCCTTCCCGCCTTCCAGCCTAGTGCGTTTCGTGGACCCCTTGGTTTCTGCGACAAGCCGCTTACGTTTGCCTGAGCCGTGTTGCCGGGGACCAGCGACCTTTCACCCCTCCCTTCCCACAGGAGCGCCCCCGCCCCGC